TATTGAGTTACAGCCCCAGTCTTGCTGTCTGTCCGTTTCCTTCCTTCCTATTTATTTATCTAGGACAGAGTCTTGCTGTATTGCTAAGTTGCCCAGGCTGAACTATATCCCTAGCCCTTAGGCATAGCTGCATCCCTTGGTGCTAAAATACAGAGGATCGCTAGCCTTTGTCAAATCGCTATCATATTGCCAGGTACTGTTACAAGGTTTGCATGTTTATAAGAGATAAACCCTAAAACAGCCCTATGCTCATGGTCTCCTAGGCCGAGCTCAGTGAGCCAGCATGACTATTGTATGTTTAGTCTATATATTTTATACAGTCTTTCGCTCTTCTGTATTTGCAAATGCCCATTTGCTGACTTCTCCACACAAACTTATTTCTAACCCCTAAATCAATACTGGTGGCATGACTGCCATCAGTGTCTACACAACCGTTTGTTTTGGGGTTTTTTGGTACCGGGGATCAAACTTGGGACCTTGGGCTTGAGAGGCAGGTGGTGGAACCACTGAGCTAAATCCCAGGCCCACGACTGTTTTGATAATTAATATTCAGACAACTGCTCTAGTGCCCTCTCATGAATAAATTTAAAGAGTCATAGAATGAATGACAAATGATTACTTCCTGTACATTGCACATTTTTCTTAAAATGTGTATTTTCATTGCAAGGGGTTAAACCCAGAGCTTTGCGCATGCTAGGCAAGCCCTCTACCACGAACTACACTGCCAGCCCCTTCAAGTGTCTTCTTGAAACCCTGTCTCTGGCTTTGTTTTGTCTTTGGAGACAGGACCTTGCTATGCAGTTCACACCAGGCTGATCTTGAACTCTCCAGTCCCTGCTTCAGTCTCCTCAGTGTTGGGGATTTCAGATGAGCCTCTGAACCCAAATGGAGCTTTCAGGCATGGTGGGATACACCTGTGATAAAACTGCTTGGGAATCTGAGACAGGAGAATTGCTGAGTTTGAGCCCAACCTAGGCTAGTTAGTTCAAGGCCAGCATGAAATAGATAGTCAGATATTACTACCCAAAACAACAACAAAACCAAGGAGCTTGCGGTCAGAGGAGTGAATAAGTGAGTGAAAGTTAGGGTGGCTGGAAGCAGAGGGTGTCATGGAGTAGAGACACCCACTGGACCTGTACTTGAATACTCACATGGGGCATGTTCTGGAAACTGGGTCAGGGCCTGCAAAGGACAAGGAGCTGGAATGGACCCATGCCATACAGCTGGGCCACTGAGATCTCAACCTAAGTGAAAAGGTGGATATCTATCTATCTATCAATCTATCTACCTACCTATCAGCTATCAGTCTTTTCCTGTTTTTCTGCTGGTGGTGATTAACACAGGGTCTTTGCACTGAGGTATATCTCCAGTCCTTTTCGTGGTTTTTGCTTTGAGACAGGGTTTCAATAAGTTCCTACATTGCCTAGGCAGGTCAAAAATGTGAGATCTTGTTTCAGCCTCCCAGAAGTTGTGGAATCACTCCACCCCAGTTAGTTTTGTTTTTGTTTTTGGTAATTAAAAAAAATATGTATTCCTTATTTAATTCTAAAAAATGTATTTATTTGTTTGGTTTTTTGAGACAGGGTCTCACTATGCAGTTTAGGCTGGCCTTGAACTCACTAGGTGGTCAAGGCAGGCCTCAATCTCAATGCAATCCTACTGCCTTCAGTCTCCTAAGAACTGGGAGTATAGGCAGGCATGTGCCACTATGTTCTGGCAAGTACACGGACAAAACTTTTTTGTTTTGTTTTGGCTTTTTTTAGCTTTTTGAGACAGCATCTTATGTGATAGCCAACCCAACTCCATCTTGTGCCTCAATCCCATTTTGTACCTGTGCTTGAACAAAGCACCCAAAACCCCCACATCCTGCTTGGAAGTTAACTTGGTGCAGTTGCAGGATGTCTTGTAGCTCACCTAATGTGTGTGAAACTTCCTTGTAACCCCATTAACTTGGCATAATTCTGCTTGTGTAAGATTCCGCTTGCTCTCCCTTGAGCCCTACCCAACTGAAAGCATGATTTAAAAGGAGAAATCAAACTGCTTCCCATTGTGGAGGAACTGGGTGCCAGCCCACCTCAGCCTCCAGCTATAATAAACGGATTTGAATCTAGCAGAGTGTGGTGCATCTCTGTTTGAACTCACTCATCCATAACACTTGCTGTGTAGTTCAGGGTTGCCTTGGCCTTGCTATGTAGCCCAGGCTGGCCTCCAACTCAAGGCATTCCTATTGCCTCACTCTCCCAAGCGCTGAGACTACAGGTGTTCGCTACCATGCCCAGCCAGAACAAATATTTTAAGACCTACACTGAAGTGGAGAAGAAGTAACATGATTGGTAACCCAAGGTACCATTTGTAGAGCGGAAGAAGGAACCAGAGGCCTCAGTATGTATAAATGCATGGAAAGTCAGAGTGATCTGGAAGGAAGCCTAGGCTGGGCTGTCTGGAGAGGGCCCTGGGGAACAGAGGAGATGACTTCACCTGGATTACAGGACTGTTTACATTCGGAATATTGTGCTCCATGAGTTGGAGGAGAATGTATGGATAAAACCAAATCAAGTGTGTCCGCCTTTGTGAATTCTGGACTTCATGTCCACAGCATCACAAGCATTACATTTTCTACATCCTTCTTATTCACATCATTTTAGCCTGCTAATGTTCATTTACCCGGACTTGCCCTTTAGGGGCTCCAACTCGATGCTGGAGATTCCCAAACCACCTGTGGTCAGTCAGCAGTTACTGCCACTTGCCAGGTGCCATGCTTAGCTGTAGAGGAAAAGGTCATAGAGAGTATCCCTGCCCTTTATGGAACAATTGTAACAGGTGAGATTCTCACAGGACAAATACTGACATGTATCCCTAGTGCATGACCCAGCAATGGAACTCTGAGGTATTCATCCAAGAAAGTAGACCTCCACTCAGATGTTCCCAGCGGTTCTCTTCATCACTGCCAGTGTTTGGAATTGCCCAGCTGTCCTTTATTAGATGAATGGATAACTCTACTCTGCTGTCCTGACCATGGAATATCATCAAGCCATAAGAGCATATGGGCATCACAGGTGCAACCCCAAGTGAATGAACCTGGGGTCTGTGGACTTGACCATTCTGGAAACAGCCACACAAATCTTCAGGGATGTAACAGATGTTCCCAGAGAAGAAAACAAGAGGGAAGAGGGAGGGAGTGTAGCTCAATGGTTAACCACTGCCCTAGCATGTGTGAGGCCCCAGTTTCCATCCCAAGCCTGAAAAAAAAGGAAAGATCTGAAGAGTACCTTGTCATTTTGGTGCCACAAGATTCTGAAGCCTATCCCCATGGATAAGAGACAGTTCAATGCCTTTTTTCTCCAACAATTGAACATTACTGAGGTCCAAGTGGAACCAAGCTGGATGTGATGGTGCATGGCAATAAACCCAGCACTCTTGGAGGGTGAGAAAAGGGTTGCAGGTTCAAGCCTAGCCTGGACAATTTAGCTACTTAGTGAGACCCTGTCTCAAAAAATAAACTTGCAAATGGAAGAGGACTAAGAGATGGAAGGTGAGGGAAGTGGACATAAAAACAGTCAGGAAGTATTATGTACATATAGCAATGCCCCATGATGAATGTGATCACTAGATACTGCAATTATGTAAAAAAAAATTCAACAAATATAAAAAAATAGAAAGAGGCTGGAGTGATAGCTCAGTGTGAAGATCCTGAGTTCAATCCCCTATACTGGAAAAAAAAAAAAGCTTTACTACCAAAGATAAATGTAATTGTTACAGATGGCAAACATTTTAATAGAATAAAAATAATAAATGCATAAATATACTGGAAAATCAAGTCACTGGCTTATCATGAAAGAGTTTACATTGAGGGTCTGTGCGTTTATTTATTTTTGAAATAGTATCTCACTGTGTAGCCCAAGCAGTCCTCAAACTTGAGGTGATCCTCCTGCCTCAGCTCACTAGGTGCTAGGATTATGGGTGTGTTGTACCATACCTGGCAGTTCCCTTTATGGCCATTTCTTGACAGTCATTGATGTAGGACTCATTTCAGACATGCACGTGTCTTCATTACTACCTTTGTCACTGGTACACAATGGCCAACACTCACAATTTCAAAGAAAGATTTATTTTGTGTTAGAGCTCAGCTCATAGGTTGGCAAGGCAGAAGTGCACAGCAGCAGAGAAACAGCTCATGGCCTTGCTATGGAAAGCAGAGACAGATTAATGGAGGAGAGAGGGAGGTAGAGGCTTCTAGGCTACACCCTCAGTGTCCCACCTCCTCTGACCAGGCTTCACCTTCCAGCATCACAGTGAGCCTCATGCTCAGTGGACAAATCCACTGATGAGTATTATGCTCCCTTGATCCAGTCTCCTCCTCTTTTTTTTTGGTACCGGGGAATCGAACTGGGGTCCTTGCGCTTGCTCAGCAGGCAGCTAAACCACTGAGCTAAATCCTCAGCCTGATCCAGTCTCCTCCTGAAAGCCCCACCTGTGAGGGCAGGAAGCTTTGAGAGAACACCTAGATTAAAAAAATATGGTTACTGGGCTGGGGAAGCACAACCAATGGCGCCTAATGCTAGTTTGATCTTGATACTCCTCTGTGACTTCCCAGTTCCCATTGGGCTCCAGTCTATACAGTTGGCAAATCATGCACCAATCACAGGAGTAGGTGCAGATCCTGATGCTAAGAGATGGCCTTATGTCCTTCAGTACCTGTTCTAATTTAGCACAGACCTGGGGAAATTTCTCAGGATCCACAAACTTTGCTGGAATCTTGGACTCATAGCTTTCCAAGGGGGCAGGGTAGAGCCCCTTGGTTAACTGACTCAGTCCAGCACACAGGCGCAGCAGGACCTGGAGGATGCCCAGGGAAATGGGGTTCCCATAGCAACTAAAGGTCTTGAGCTGGGAGCAGCGGCTCAGTGCAGGCAAGATGGCAAGGAACTGGGCGTCTGTGATGTCACAGTGCTCTAGGACCAGGGTCTCCAGGGTGCAGGCCAATTTGTCTAGCAGAGCCTGGAGGGTCTCTGGGTTGAATGATTTCATTGAGAACTTCCTCAGACTCAGGGACTTCAGCTGGCTCGTGCTTGGACAGTGGGCCAGATGCTTTAGGTCAGACTCCTTCAGTGGACTTGAACTCAAGGAGAGGACCTCCAAGGGGGTCTGGCTCCTGTACAGAGAGAGAGAGAGGGAAAACTTAATTGCTATGAATTGGGGTGATGACTGGGTTTCATTGGGAAATGGCCTGAAGGGAGGAGAGTCAGTTTAGCGCTAAGGTTTCCTCACCATTGATGATCATCACCCGATGCTGTGTGTTGAAGGCACTGATAACTCAAGTCACCATCACTAGTGTGATTGGCTCAGTCCCCATCCTCTACAGGCCCCTGGGCTCATTGCCCAGCAGAAAACCACAGCTCTGTCCAGATGAGGCCATGGAGGGGACACGCAGGAAGAATGAATCCAGGCAAGATTGGCCACTTGGCCTGGAGTTGGCTCTGTGTCCTTAGCAAAGCCTGTGTCCCTGTTCTCAGCCCTAAACTCCTGCTCCTCACCCTGAGCTCCAGGCTCCTGCACTTTCCATGTGCTGATTGTCCTGCCTGGGGGACTGTTATGGCTTCTGTCTAGGTGTCCCTCAAAGCCTTATGCACACAGCAGTGGGGATTAGGGAAGTGTCTAGATCATGGGTGTGGTAACTGGATCAGTCCAGTGATTGGTTTAGCATGGCTGTAGGTGATGTGATTACTGAAGAGAGAAGGGCCACCCTGGGTGTGAATGGCACTGAGCAATAGGCTTGTCGCCTGAATGGAATATAAAGGGAAAGAAGGAAGGCAGGCTTGCTGCTTCCTTCCTGCCCTCCAATGGAGTGTTTCTTCATTGCCATGCCTTGTAGCCAGCTGACTATGGACTGAAACCTTTATGAAGGGTGAGCTAAAATAAGCATTTCCTCCTTTAACTTGTGGGTGTTTGGTATTTTGTCCTAGTAATGACAAAGTAACTAAGACAACCACCCAGTAGACATTCCCATTGGAGGACACAGAGACTGGCTTGCTCCCCATCTCAGCTGCTAAGCACAATCACAGTTTCAATGTGCAGGTGTGAGGCCTGCCCCTACTTTAATGCTCTCTCTCCCCTCTTCTCAGAGCCTTAACATAGACGTGCTTCCTAAGGAAGAAATGACAGCTGCCCTCATTATGTTTGCTCCCCCACTGCTGGTTTCTGGGCATGGGGCCTGTGTCAGACCTCCTGTTCCAATTTAGTCCCAGCCTTCACGTGGGTGGTTATAGGAGAATTTGCCATGGTCTAGACAATGTTGTCTTTTCCACCTTCTCATATCTCCCACATTGCTGGCAGCTTGGCACCCTGATGCCCTCTTCATATTCACTGTCCCCTTGAATATGCAGGGGAGCTCACTACCCACTCACCTTAAGATCTTGTGCAGAGTTCCTTCCAGGAAGAAGACGTCATCTATATGAAGCTCCCGGAGACTTTGCATCTGTCCTAAGTGAAAAGCATAGAAGCGGGAATCCCGCTTGTTTTTCTGGGCTGAAGTATACACTTCTGGGCTCAGGCTACTGAAGTGAAATGTGCGAAGGTTCATCATCTTCTTGAGCAGAGGAACAAATGCTTTCATGCTTTCCCGACCCCAGTCACTGAACACGTCCAGCTCCTGGATAGAGTCCAGTTGCACAGCACGAAGAAGCTTCAGGATTGTAAAGACAGCTTTGGAATTGATCATCACCTTCTCACAGCACAGGTGTACTGAAGCTTTTCTCTTCCTGGCCCAGTTCAAGAGACAGAGTTGTAATTCATCGCGGGTGACACAAGACTTACTCCAGGCTTCAAAACAAAGGTGCATGAGGATTGTCAAGGTCGGCTTCTTCTTCCTCAACCCAGGCTTGCCTGTCTCCTTATTGCTGGCATCTTCTGAGTGGGCAGCCCTCATGGCTCTGGGCCCTACAGTCCAGAAGTCCCGGTGTACATCCCTCCAATCCAGCATCTGCAGTCTCCATCTGCTGTGAGAGAAACAGGAAGCGGTCTCAGACTTAAGATAAAGAAAGACCCAGTTTCCTACCTGTGCTTCTCTTCCACTTTCTTGGCAGCAGCTGAACTCCTACTTTTCCTGCCCTCCTTTTTCTACCCTTGTAATCCTATGCAGTTAATTTGACTTCTAATCCCTGTGAGAGGAGGCAGGTTCAGGTTCCTCCTGATTTCACTGCATCTCCCACTTGCAGGTTTCTCATCAGGAAACCCCTTCCCAGGTGGTATTCAGCAAAGGCCAAAAATTCTTCAACATCAAAATCTGCTCCCTCCTTCAGTCTCCCAGGTCCTTAACACCAACTCTCCCTTTCTGGGACTTCAGGACCCTCTTTCACATACACATGTATCACGCTCACCTGTGGTGAACCTTCTGGGACAGCTGCATGTCAAGTCCATCCAGTAGGGCTTGCAAGGTCTGTAGGTTTCTCTGTTGCAGTGCGACTTTCCCCAACGGGGTATATGGGGTCCTTGGTTCCCTCAAATCCATCAGGCTCCTCAAAGGGAGGCAGGGGAAAGGCCAGGCCTGCACCATCACCTTCAGGACCTCATTGTGTTCCCTCATGAAGGCCTCTATGAATATTTCATGGAAGATAAGGGTGGGCAGGTCATGCAGAGCACTGCTGGCTGTGGTCTCACTCTTCAGCAGGCTCTGCTTCGACAGCTTGTACAGAGTCAGTGGGCTCTGTGTAGTCATCCTGAGAAACCTGCAAGGAGAAGGATCCTGGGTCACATCCAGGAAGAGGCACACATTCAGGCCAAGCTCAAGAGCCCCCTTCTGACCCAATGAGACTAACTCAGGGGCCAAAGTCCTTGGTCTAGCTATGGAGGGAACCTTCACAGTTTACCCCAGTATTTGACTTAAGTGGCTCTGAACCACACCTCTGATCCTGCTGGCAGCATGACACCTCTACCCCATCCACTTCAAGCCACTAATGCTTTGAACTCCAGTCCCTGTGGGAAGTGGGTTCTGACTGTTGACAGCTCAGCCCCTTCTTGTTTGGGAGGTTTCTGATCTTTGCTCCAACATTGTAGAATAATAGCAGTGGAACTATCTTATGGCCCAAGCACCTTACCATCTTCATCCCACCCATGAGGTCACCCAGGAGATATTTGGGAGACTCCACAAAAGTGAGTTTGTTATTTTCATTTTAAGAAATTTAATAAGCCATTATAAAAGCCATGTATCATTGTTATAGAGCACGTGGAAGTTAGACAAGGAAAATGGTAACTCTGATATGGGGTGTTAAAACTCTTCCACGCATGACAACTTACCACTTTGTGATTGAGTGCAGGGGAGAAAATAGATCAAAACAAAGTCTCCCCCTTAAAAATTCTGCAGAGACTTGGACATGGTAGAACCTATCTATCATTCCCGCACTCTGGGAAGCAGAGGCAAGAGAATTCCAAGTTTAAGCCCAGCCTGTACAATTTAGTGAGTTAGAGAGAATGCCTTGAAGTGAAACCTAATGGAATAAAATATAGGTCTGGGGAGGTAGGTCAGTAGGAAGATTCTAGTTTAAAGCCCAGTACCACATAAAACAAATGCAAGAAAAACAGCCAGGTATGGTGGTGCACACCTGTAATCCCAGCACTCCACAAAGGCAGGAGGATCACTGTGAGTTTGAGGCCAACCTGAGCTACATAGTGAGTTCAAAGCCAGCCTGAACTACATTGAGAGACAGTGCCTTAAAAAAACCCCAACAAACCAACAACAACAAAAAACCCCATACACAACAACAACCGCAAGAAATTCCTGTGTAAAATATTATATATTGCTTTTTTAAGAATTGGTGTCCAGTACTATGTGTTGAATATGGCTTTTGCTCAAAGTGACAGCTTCACTACTTTTTTTTTTGGCATTTAAAAACTTTTGAGTCAGAATCTCACTAAGTTGTGAACACTGGTCTTGAATTTGAAATTCTCCTGCCTCAGCCTCCAAAGTAGATGATATTTCAGACATGGGTAAACATTCCTGGCTATATGGAATGTTTTTATTTATTTGTTTGTTTATTTGGTGCTGGGAGTCAAACACAGGACCTTGGGCTTGTGAGGCAGGTGGTGGCAACACTGAGCTAAATCCCCAGCTCTATATAGAATGTTTTAAAGCTCCCTTTTTAATTCATTTTTTTTTTTGAGGCTAGGTCTCAATATATAGTTCACACTGGCCTCAAACTTGCTTTGATACTACTACCTCAACCTCTGGAGTGGTGGGATTGCAACACGTGCCACCTCACCAGGCTTTGCTTTTAATTATTTTGTTGATGGGGACTGAAGTCAGGGGAAAGCCCAGGAGAGGCAAGGGCTCTAGCTAAAATCACAAGCCAACATCCATGAACTATCATTTAGCAAATACAAACTCAGAATTTCAATTGTGAAAAAATAAACTTTGATGCAAATGCCTGTAATCCTAGCACTCTGGGAGGCTGAGGCCAGAGAATCCAAAAATTCAAATTCAAGGCAAACTGGGCAATTCAGTGACTTAGCAAGATCATGTCTTAAAAGGTCTGGTGATGCAATTCAGTGCTGCAATGGAGAGAAGGAGAGATAGTATGATGGAGGGAAAGATACATAGAGGGAGGAAGGGGGAGAGAGAAGAAACTTGTAACTGGATGAGGTGGTACAAGCCTCTGGTCCCAGCCCATGGAGACTGACAAATGATGAAGAGTTCAAAGTCAGCCTAGCTGAGTTAGGAGACCCTGTCTCAGCTAAGTTAGGAGACCCTGTCTCAAAACAAAAACAGTAACAATAGGGTGTCAGGACATGTTAGCTCTGTCGTATCTCATACCTGCCTTCAGTCATCGGTACTGAAAGAAAATAACTTATTCTCTCTTCCATTTGCTGTGAAAGGTTCAAACCTAGAGACCCTGGCATTCTCATTCAGAGCTCTGTCATGGAGCAACATCCTGAGGGCTGCTGTTAAAACACTACAAGAGAAGCCTTGAGTGGTGGGGAAGCCTCTGAAACCAGCACTGGGGAAGCTGAGACACCAGAAGTTCTAGGACAGGCCTACATAGTGAATTCAAGGCCAGCCTGAACTGCATAGTGACAATCTGTGTCAGTAAGTAAATAAGTAAATAAAATAAAATCAGGCCAGGTTTAGAAACCCACTCCTGTAATCTCAGCATTTTCACAAACTAAGGCAGGACTTCCACCTTGCAGCCCATCCTGGTTGACTTAGTGAGACCCTAGCTCAAAATACAAAATAAAATAAAAATAATAGAAGATGTAGCACAGCATGAAGACACTCAGCACAAAAATGAGATAAAAAATTTCTGCCATTCAGTCTGGTTTAATCCAGAGTGGCCTTGACCCTCCCATTCCTGTTTCTGCATCACAAGAAATTAACATGACCTGCTGAGGTTTGAAGAGATGGCTTTCATTTAAATATGAGTCTTTAAAAAAGTTATGAAAATGAGAAAGCCAGACATGGTAACACGCCTGTAATCCCAGCACTCATGGTAACACACGCCTGTAATCCCAGCACTCAGGGGGATGAGACAGGAGGATCACTGTAAGTTTGAGGCCAGCCTGGGCTATAAAGTGAGACCCTGTCTCAAAAAAAAAGTTATGAAATGACATGAAACAATGCACCAACCACGATAGAAGGGATGAAGGCAAATTTGCATAGTTAGAATCAAAACAAAAATTTAACTCTGGCTCAGTAGATCCAGCCTTAGTCCCAGTGATGGGCTGAGCCAGGAGAATCAGGACTATAAATACACTCTGGGCTACATACTGAGTTGAAATCTGGTTGGACCTGGGGTCAAAAAAAAAACTATAACAAGTACAAAATCCCAAACCTATCCATCTGAAGAGACAGAAGTCACAGAATCCTCCCTGCCACCTTGGACCTCTGTCCTCACAGGACACTGGCTGAGGGTGGGCAGGAGAAGCGTCCTCATGGAAGGCAGTGACTCACCAGGTAGAGACTGGGATGACAGGGCTCTGGGATCCTGGCGGGACCAGGCGCTGACTGGAAGCTCCAGGACTGAGCATCTCCTCAGCTCCTCTCCTGCTTTTATCCCCCCTGTTAGCTACACCTTACCTTTCCAGCTCCTCCCTTCCTGTCATGCTCTGATCCCTGAGGGTTTCTCCTGCTCCACCCAGTTAATACTCTTGGGATTTGGGTTTTTCTGCCTGTTGATTAGTATTAACAAATCTCTAGGCAGGAGCTGAGAAGAATTTAGGAGAGAGTAAAAGTCAGGGATTTAGTCATTGATTCACTCTACAAACACCAATTCATTGTTACTAACATGTGGCAGTCACAGGTGAGAGTGTGAAACAGGAAAGGAATTAATCTGTTCCTGATTTAGGCAGGAATCGTCCCATATTTTCACTCTGTTCCAGAGTTAAAACCACTCAACAGTATCAAGGTGCTGTGGCCCAAGGCTGAAATTCCAGATTCTTTGGAAGCTGAGACAGGATAATCACTTGGATGCAGGACTTTGGGTCTAGCTGTGCAACAAAGAAAGGCTACACCTCAAAAAAACAAATGGAGCAGGGCATGATGGCCTATACCTGTAATCCAAGTGCTCTGGGAGGCTGAGGCAGGATAATGACAAGTTCAAGTCCAGCCTGGGCAATTTAGTGACTCTCTCTCTCTCTCTCTCTGTCTTTTTTAATTGGAGAGTACTTTAATAGCCTACAGATCGAGGCAGTTTTATTGCTGTGGTACCTCCAATCATTTTATAGTAATTCTGAGTCATTTTGTAGTAAAAGAAGAGACAGAGGAAAATAATTTCACTATACAGCAAAACACATGAGCTTTCATTCCTACATGGGGATTTTCCCCATCTGTCCAGTTTGTGCCCAGAACAAAAGAGAGCTACTATATTTCACTCCTTTTTCCTGTTCAAGTTGCTTCAAATACTAACTGGGAAATTAGGACTGACTCGTGGCAAAGGAAAAGCAAAAACTTCGGTTTCCTGGCAGAGTTTTAAAACATGAGTGCGCTCACTCCTTTCTCTACAAGGCCAGGCTTGGTCACTGCTGTCACCTTTGCCCACAGAGCACCCTTCCACGGACTGCAGAGG